ACGTAAACGTTCTAATATATAATATGTATATCAACAGAGTATTGATAATATTATTTAGAAAAATTAGAAATATACATTCTGATCGTTCAAAATATCAGCTAGTTTTGAATATATTCGCTTATTAGTAAATTTTCAATAGTTGAAAGTTCTTTTTGAAATGACAATAAAGTAATAATTAAACAAAAAACATAACATAATTAAAGATTATGTTACATTATACAATACATATAGTATTTAAAAAAGAATTATTACAAAATAACATACAGTAATATAAAAAATTAGAGAATGATCTCTTTTACTGCATTTATTTATACATTTATATAAAATTATAGTAATAACAAGGTATTAGGTGGAAAGATAAATAATGAACTGTCAAGATTATTTTTCCAACATTTAAAGAAGAACTTTTCTTTGGTTGGAAAATTACATTATGAAACAATTATGTATTTAACAGAAATTTTTCAATGATAAAAATATCTTTTCTATTATAATAATCTCATACCTTAATCTTTTATCTTTCTAATGAGCCTATTATTACATTAAAATTGCATTAGTATTACGATTAGAAAATAATTACTATGTAAACACTTGCACACACAAATGGTTGGTAATGACTGATACTTGATCGAAGCGCCACGTAGCGGTACTTATTAAAATAACAAGTCACGTGTTATACGATCACGTGGTACATGGTCACGTGGTATACGATCACGTGGCACACAGTCACGAATATGCCGCCAAATTTAAATGAAAAACTATTTCGATAAAAAGAATGGGTCAAGTATCAATATTGCTTAAAATGAAAGTAAAGATTATACTATTCTAATAAAATACATTATGTGTAATGAATACAGTATTGATGTATGATTTTCTATGTTTAATACATTAAAAATAAAATAAAATAAAATCTATGTTATATGATATATAAATGTTTGATTATGTAATGTATAATAAATGTGTATTTTATTGTAAAACAAAAATGCTTAAAATGCATTTATTATATGTATATTCATCAAATTTAAATAAAATAGAAATATCTCACGATATGGTTTAAAAAAAAAAAAAAGAATAAATTATTTCCTTAACCACATTTTGTTATACAGAACAGAAAAGAATATCCTGAAATATTAAACACAATAAATTAAGAATAAAGAAAAATGATAATTATTATAAAATAATAATTTAAATAGTACCGATCATTTTCTGTTTTATTTCGTCAGAAAAGCAATGATTAATATATTGTCTAATACGGAATACATTGTTACATACGAGATGTACAAATACAAGTGTATAAATTGTCGATAGAAAAAAATGATTTGGATGTAGAAAAAAAAAAAATTATTTGCTAAAATACAAGAGGAATGAACAAAGAAAAACTAAAAAGAAATAAAAAGCAATAGTAACTGATAAAAAGTAAAAGGAAATAGTCAGTCTCTTTTAAAATTAGTTGTATTGATAAACGGTATTATCCAAATTGTTAAAAACAATTTGTTCGTCGATCCAATGTTTAAGTTCGGCAACGTTAGCATAAACTCCCGGAGTTCCGTCTTCACCACAGCCAATACCCCATGCAACTATTCCAGTTTGAACATAATAATTAGGATTTTGCTTTAATGGGCAGACCAATGGACTTCCACCGTCACCCTGAAAGAGAATGATGATGATGATGATGATGATAATAACAATAATAATGAATAAATTAATTAACAAATAATAATAATAATAATAATAATAATAATAATACCTTGCAAGTATCTTTTCCTTTTTCACCGCCAGCACAAATGAAAGTACGATCCAATACGAAATATTTGCCTAATCTTGAGTTACGCAAAATATTTTGACAAGTATCATGAGGTACAATAGGTAATTCAACTTTTTTCAAAATCACCTGATAATGGCCTTCCTTACCTAGAATGAAATAAAGCTATTACCCATAAATACGAATCATTAATAAATTGGTCAGGTGTTTATTTGAATTACCAAAGACATCCTTGCCCCAACCACTGGCAAAACATTTACTTCCGTCATAGACATCGTTATTATCAGGTAGACAAACGATGTCAACGTTCTCAGCTATGTCAACAGGTTGAGAAAGAAATACCACAGCGACGTCGTTGTAAAGTGCACCGGCATGGAATTGTTCGTGTACCGTAATTTTGTCAACCGAACGATCTTGATATGGAAGAATTTCATTGCTGGTTTGGGTGTCCCATTCACCGGCACGTATTCGAAGTTCTGAAGGTTTTACACTGTTTAACGAATAAAACATAACAATATGTTACAGAAATAATAGGAATGAGAATGGGGGGAGACTAAGATTGACAATGAAACTATAAAAGTTCAAATAATCATTGAAATATCATTGATAATTACTCTTTTACACAGTGTGCTGCTGTTAGGACAGCTTTTGGAGTAATCAGTGCACCACCACATTGATAAACGTTCAATTTCTTTCCATTTGGTCCAATAGTTTGTTCTTTAAGTATTGCTACCATCCATGGGAATTCACCAAACTGTGCTTCGTTATTGGTATCCCCAATAATCCTAAAACCAACACCTTTAGCATGTCTCTGACCACATTTCGTCCTTACCGTTGGATTTGGATTTGGATTTGGTTGTGGTTGTGGTGGTGGTGGTGTACTATAATCTCCTTTATCTACCACACGATTTGGTGGTGTGCAACATACGTCCAAATAATTTTCACAAGGCCCATCCGATGCTCTATAAGAAAAATTCATATTATGATAAAAACCGTGAAAATTTGTTTTTAATTAAATGTTTTACATCAATTATCTTATACTTTTATGATGTAGTAGTAAAAGGGGTTGGGTTGAGGTAACGTTCGACTATTTGTTTATAAATAAACGAAGTTACTTTGGCGTCCAAAATAGTCTCCTCTTATGGATCATTCTTCAATGATTATATTATTACTGAATGTTTGAATTGCATGTATGTTATTATGAAAACGGCACGTTGCAATATATATCTTAAACATTTTTATATTTAATTAATAATATACAATAGTATATATACAATCATCAACACACACGAATTTTCTATTCAAAAATGATCCAAACAAAATTTCTCAAAATTGTACGTAAAATTCAATTGAATTTTGTGTGTGTCATTATTTAATATAAAATCATTTGAAAAAGATTTTGTGTTCCAAGGGGGGTGGGACAATTGTAATAATTGTATGAAAAACAAGAAAAAGAATGAAAAGAAAATATAATCAACATGCCGTAAGAAAAAGAATTAAAAAAAAGAAAAAAGACAAAAAATGAAATATAATAATTTTGGATAAAAGCATAAATCAGAATGAAGGAATAAATTTCCAACAAAAGGGAAAACAAAATACATGCGAATAGAAAAATTAAACGAATTAGAATAAAACCAATGAATATAAAAAAGCCAAAAATGTTAAATAAATAAATAAAAAAGAAAGAAACAATCTCCAATTTGGTTTGATAAAAAGAGACTATTTGGGAACGCACTCACCCTAATCTTTCGTTAAAACTGGACCTGATATCAATGATGCCGATTCCATTGTCCAAAATTGTACCATTCTTGCATTGATAATAAGGAACGCAATCACAACCGCTGTTTGTTTTAATAGGTTGATTTGTTATTCCAAGAATAGTAGTCGGTGATGTGCTGATATTATTTCTACCATAAATATTATTTATAAGGCTATCCAAATCTCCATTTGTATTTGATGGTGTTGGTGGAGTCGAGGATGGTGGTCTACCAAAAACATTGCTTATCAAATTATCTAAATTGTCTCCTTGCGGACGTGGTATGGCTAAACTTAGACCAATCAGACCCAACAACGTTAACAATGTCTTCTTCATCTATAAATAGAAAACAAAACAATTACAAATAAATATCTTATGATATACGTTTTGTTGATTGTATGGTGAAGAAAAGAAAAAAAGAAAGAAAGAATAAATGTGAGATGTGACAATATCGTTTATTATTAAGAAATCTTGGCAAGATATTATAAATTTACGCG